CGTTCTTTCCCTGGGATCACTTTAGCTTTGGATTCAAGGGACCACAAGAGATGGAAGGAAGGCAGTCCTTGCTGGGATGCGAGGATCACACTGCCATGTGTTATCAGGGGTTCTGATCACAGATCCCCAACGTGCAGTTGAGCTGGAAAAAACACCTGTGAGGGGGCCCATGTGGAACATTGCAGAGCTGGATAACAGGATATTTAATTCTTCCTTTGGTACCATTTCCCCAATTGACAATATTCTTTGATGTGTGTTTAGATCCAGTAGGACAGAAGGAAAGCAGGTACAATATGTGTACCTGTCCCCCTCTCCCCCGAGCTTAAGGTAGTCTAGGGGGTTAACCTCCCCTTCTCCGTGAACCTCTTCCTGATTTCATAATAGGCCTATTTGTGACTACTTTTTGCAGCTACCATACGCACTGCAGGAGGAAACTAATCATGGGTCCCCAAGGCCCAAAGTAATTTGGCCCTTCATAGAGTCATAAAGTTGGGAGGGACCTCCACGCTCATCTAGTCCAACCCCCTGCACAATGCAGGAAATTCACAAATACTTCCCCCTCCACACCCCCAGTGACCCCTGCTCCATGCCCAGATGACAAGAAAACCTCCAGGATCTCCAGCCAAACTGGCCTGGAGAAAAATTGCTTCCTGTCCACAGAGTGGTGATCAGCATTTCCCTGGGCGTGTAAGAAAGGGCCACAAGAACTGATGCAACCCTGCCTGCCCTCCTTCTCATGATCTGCCTAAGTTCACACAATCGCATTGCCCTTAGAAGTAACGTTTACATACTTAATTATAACAGGACATTGGTCCTAAGAACTGGTGACACAGAGGTGTCAATGTAGATATTTTGTAGTTTGGTTGGGTGCCAGACTTACTTGGATGCTCATTTATCAAGGCCAGGTCCTGAGATGGAATGTTGACCGGCATTCCGTTGCATCCACAGAGCCATCAAGGAAACCGGTGCAGAAATTTGTGATATATGAATGAAGCTTTTGGATTTGATGCTATGTATCTCTGAGTTTGTGAATTAACAAGAGTCTTGTGGCACCTTTAGAGACTAACAAAATATTATTCCAGTGTAAGCAGTTGTGGACTAAAGTCCTTTTCTTCAGATGCAAGGAGTAAATCCTTGCTACACAGATATTTTACAGAGACAGTATGGAAAAAAGCAAACCTCCCAAGGTCAAGGGACTGTGAAATGAAGGCAGAACTGAGTGAAATGTGATTATATAAAATTCGTCATGGTTGATGAATGACATGCACTTTCACATAGGAAAGTACCGAATAATGCACTTTCAACCCATTTTTAATGCACTTTGCGACTGCTATGCACTGTGCGAAATGGTAAAATCCACTCGCAAACTATCAGTAAAGTGCATTGGAAGTCGATTGAAAATGCCATTATTCACTGCGTGTATAATTGCATGACAATATTTGTAATATATATGCATGAGTTTTCACCTGATGTAGACAATCCTTTTCTATATTTCATATAGATTGTTGTTGTGTGCTCGGTGCTAGTATCTAATGAAGGAGGATTTACATTATTAACACATGCCAGGATATGGAGTGGAAAGATATGGAGCTAGTCTATGGGTGTGATCACACGAGCAGTTTGGCCTGATATAGCCACCCCGCCCCTCCGGATTGAAGGGGTGCAGTCACACAGCCATATCTGTCAGGCGTTTCCCTGGCATACTCACCCCATCGTAGGATGACTTGGAGCCGGGTTAAAAAGGCACCACTTCACAAGTGGTGTTTTCAGTTCCCCGTGTATTCATTGCGCATCGCCGGATGTCTGAACATGGGGGAGCGCATGCAAAACGGATTGGCAGTCTGAGCCTGCAGATCTGTTTCTGCTGCTGGGGTTGGGTGTTGTGTTTTTGTTTTAGTTTTTGCTTATATGCCCCACAACATTTCACACCGGTACAATTAGAGGCGGCACCATATCGCGCCAAGCCGCCAGTGTGATCACAGCCCTATGGCAGGCAGCTTTGTTTTTTTTCCAGGTGACTGCATGGAAGCTCGGAAAGAGACAAACACTTTGCTTCCTTTTCAGGAATGGGTGTTTCACGTACTGGCCCAGGCAAAGGAAAACAACGCGCCTCAAAGGTGTGTGTGTGTGTTTCATTCAGCGCAATCTAAGTAAGGAACAAACTCCCGTCTGGATGGATCCCCTACACAGGCGCACAGACTGTCCTACTGCAGTGGTCTTCAGTCTTATGGGCCGTTGGGCCCCACCTGCTCAGTCAAGCGCCCTTACAGAGCCACCACTGCCTTTCCCCCCTGCTTTTCTGGAAGGACCAACTGCCTAGTGCGCATGCGTAGAGAGCATCTCCTGCTTCTCTTTGGCCCGTTCTGCATCTAGCATTCCCTCCGCTGTGCTACTAAACCCAGGTCGGAACAGAAATCCCCCTCTACATTGCATGCCACTTCCACTTTGATTGATTGTCAGGTTTTATGGCAGTGTCCCTTCACTTCATGTGATCTCTCGGTTTTATGGTACCCGTCTGCATAGATTTATGGGATTTTTTATGGCTATTCAGGGGTGACTCTGCGGTCAGTACAGCGTTGGCCCCGGGGTATTTGAACGTGGTTTTGAGCCGCGTCTTTTTTCTGTTCCAGTGTGGGTTTGGTAAAACAACGGAGCGAATGCTAGATGCAGAATGGGCCTTTGCATGTAAGCTGAGAGGAACGGCTGGGTGCTGCCATGAAGTCACAGCAGCAGAGAGCATTCCTCCATCGCTCCGACCTCCTGCCTTGTTCCTTGCTGTGATACTCTCCCCAGCTCTTTGCCCTGCTGTCCACTGCGGGACTGTCATTGGCCCTGGCGAGGTCATAATTTCGGGCTCCTTGACTTCTGGTCCCATGCTTTGCAGTTCAGTGGACCCCGTGCAGTTGGGCTCCCCGGCCAAGCTGGAGACCACGCCCTCAACAGAGGATCAAAGGACTGAGCCAAATAAATTGGTGGCAGAAAGGGTTTTGAGAGATGTCTGCTGGAACATGGAAGGCCAGTGGGGTGTGGGGATCAGTTTAGGATCCAGGAGAGGAGACCCAGGTTCAAATCCTTACTTTGCCATGGAAGCTCGCTGGGTGGCCTTGGGCCGGTCCCACGCTCTCAGCCTAACCTACCTCACAGGGTTGTTGTGAGGATGAGATGGAGGAGAGGAGAACGAAGGGAGCTGCTTTTGGTCCACGTTGGTGAGAAAGGCAGGGCGACTCCTCTCCTCCATTTTATCCTTCCAACAGCCCTGCGAGGAAGGTTAGGCTGAGGGTGTGCGACTGGCCCACCGAACTTCCGCGGCAGAGCAGGGAGTTGAACTTGGGCTGCCCAAATGTCCTAGTCCGACACTCTGACCACGACACCACACTGGGTGAAGGACTGTCTCTCCATAAATCATAGAATCATGGAATCATAGAGCTGGAAGGGACCTCCAGGATCATCTAGTCCAAACCTCTGCACAATGTAGGAAATTCACAACTACCTCTCCCCTTCTGCACACCCAGAAGATGACGAAAAACCTCCAGCCAAACTGGCCTGGATGTTATGCATCAGTTATATTACGCATCAGTTATGTGCCTGTAGCTGTCACCTTCTGGTGCGGTCCCCCCCCCGTTTGTTTATTTATTTACTTTAATTTATACCCCGCCCCATCCCACAAGTGGGTTTAGGGCGGCTTACAACATAAAACCCATAAACAATCAATACAATAAAACTATAAAACAACAGATGGCATAATAGACAGTAACAAAACCCATGCCTCATGTCAGGCATCTACAAGAACTTGATCTTCTTCTGTGGCGTATCGGCCGTTAGGCAGTTTGGTTTAATATTGCTTTTAACATGGCTTGAATAGCAGGCATTTTTGTAGACTGGGGAGAGGTATCTATTCATGCATGCTTTAAATTTAGAATTGTAAGCTGCTTTGAACCACAAGGGAAAGGGGGGTTATAAATATTCATATGAATAAGCGTGTGAAAGGCAGCATGACATGGCTGTTCCTGCAGATAGTTCAAGGAATAAGAGGTGAATTGAAGGGAGCTGGTAAGTCTCAGGTAAGGGAAGACAATTTGGGCCAGTTTAATTGGAGGTTGTTGGGTAGGTTTGTAAAGATCTGATGAAAGAGGAAAAATGGACATTTGGGATCCTGCAGTGATGGCACGAAGGCTTCCAAAGATTGTAGCACTTCTACATTGGTACAGGGAGTGGAATTTCTTTTTTGTAGATTGTGGCACTTCTGCTTTGTTATAGGGAGCGGAATTTCTTTTTTTCTTTTTTCCCTGAAATCCACTTGTTTTAAATATAGCCATTGATTCATCCTTACGCTCTTTCAAAAGAAGAATTTCTCTTTAGTTTGGCTTCTTCTTTGTAGTTTTCTGTTACATCACACAGTGGTGTTCTATGTACTGTTTTATAACTTCAGTCCTTGCATTTTTTTAAATGTTACACACCACAGGGCAGTGTTCTAGCAGTAGGACGGTGGGAAGACGTAGCTTGCCTCTGAGCATCGGCAGAGTGGAAGTCTAAACTTTTGCAGAACCTCCCTTCCTGCCCCCTCCTCTTTTTGGATCATAATGGAATAGTCAAAACAGACTGCAAATTCCTATAAAGCAGAAAAGAAACAGACTGTTGGGTTCCAGGGAGAAATTGGGTAGAGCAGAATTTCTCTGAACAATGTTGCTCTTTCTCTCTCTTGTCCAGGAACAGTATCTCCAAAGTGCACATCTTCTTTGACGAATGGAGGTATAAAGCCACCCAAGAGACTCCAGCATTCACGGTGTGTACCTTCCACATCCCGTACCTTGAGTCTGCGGCTTCTCTCTGTGTGCTTGTCTCTTCACCCCACCTGGCTGCCTTATACTTTGGGAGTTTTCACTTGAGAAGCCCCCATGGGACATGTCTCCCTAGGGCAGATTCCATGATGAGGGCATACAGGTTGAGATGGAGGATGCAGAGTGGGTGAAGAAGTAAAATCCACTCAGTAGTATTGCAGTTGAAGGGTGTCTGTTCACATGGTCTTCCTTGCCTGTGGTCTGTCTCCCCATTTGGCCAGGCAAGGGGTGTGATGGCTTTCCAACCCAAAAGGGGGCACCTTGCCTTAATAGTTCCTGGTATAGTCCTGGTATAAGATATAGTCCTAGTACAAGGGTATAGTCAGGGCTTTTTTTGTAGAAAAAGCCCAGCAGGAACTCATTAGCATAATAGGCCACACCCAACAGAAGAACTTTATTAGCTTATTAGGACACACCCCTGACAGCACAGCTCATTAGCATATTAGGCCACACACCCCATGTTCGCAGAAGTGTAGTCATCCAGACACACCCACCTTTTGCTTCTTATTCTGTTGACCTTGTTCGTTGTCAAAACCCAGGGCTTTTTTGTAGCAGGAGCTCCTTTGCATGTTAGGCCACACACCCCTACTGTAGCCAGTCCTAATAAGTTTCTGCTGTTGGGTGTGGCCTATTATGCTAATGTGTTCCTGCTGGG